GTCACCTGGCATGGAGAGGTTAAACTTTTTAATTTAAGGTTTATTTCTATATATGAAATAGTTAAAATTGGGGCAGCTGTGATTCCAAGTTACAGGGTCATAGGCAACCCCCTTCTCCCCAACTCCATTCATATGAACCCAACAGTATCTCTGAGTGTCAACACTCCTTTCTGCAACAGAGGGGAGGTCTATGGGAACCTGTTGAACAGGATCCTGTTGTGCTAGGCATTGCATGTGCTGGAGTACATATGGGTTTTATGCCCTGAAGAGCTGAGCACCTGAACAGATAAGATGGTCAGGGGCCAGGGATGCAGCAGGAAGCAGACGGAGCATACGGCAAGTCAGCAAATATGACGTTGTGCCATGATTAAAGCAGAACAAACTTTAGGTGGGTTTTAAAGGGGATTTAATTCAGCAGAGACAAGGGTGAGGGGATGGAGAAAGGAGGTGGGGAAGAGAGCAGGGGAGACAGATGGGAAGGGGCTGGAGCGAAGGGGCGATCCCAGGAGAGTTGGGCTAGTCGCACCTAGGGGAAGTGGTGTTTGATGTCACCAGTGCCCTGAAGTGGTGCAGCTTGCCCCCAAGCTGCCTGGCTCCAGGATGCTGGCTCCTCTCTGGGATTTCACTGCCCCAAGCCCATGTGGCTCACAAGGAGGGCACTAAATGGGGAAGCGGGTGACCATCCTGCGTGGAGGAGAGGGGTGTCCCTAGCCCAGCCCCATCTCCTTCCCACCATACAAAGCTGCAGTCCCAGGGCTGGACGCTGACTCCTTTCCAGGTCACGCTAAACCCCTCTTCCAGGGGGCTCCTTTCACCTATCCCAGCCCTTACCTTCTGCCACAGACAAGACCACCTCAGAGGGAAAAAGCATCAGGCAGGCTCTACCTCCCGGAGCTAATCCAGACTCTCGGGATCGATTCGGACCCGCACACCGACCACTGTTGTGCTGCACACAGCGGCAGGTCGCTGCTTTGTATCTGGAGCTGCTTTATTTTACTTAGGATAATGCTGGCTGCTGCCTGCCCCCTCCTTGAGACGAACAGGCACTGTGGACCTCTGTCACAGGCGCCAAGGGAGCTATTCATTAATATAAGTACCTCTGTTTTGTAAGACTGCCTCTTGCAGGACCCCCAGGGCTGCTTTGCAGCAAACAGGAGGGTACTTCTGAGCCAGCAGCGCCCCCTTCTCTGCCAAGTGAGCAGGGGGCTCCCATGGGCAGCGCCACCTTCTCTGCCAAGTGAGCAGGGGGCTCCCATCCATTATATACTGAGCATGAGAAAGAAACACTTGAGGAGAGAACTTGCCACCAACCTCAAAGCCCATTAGATTGGCAATTAAGAGTTACTTGGTGTTACCTGGATAAAAATCATCAGCTCTTCATAGTGGGTCAGATATTCCGTGGGAGGAATATTTTCCTTTACTGGCTCTTACATTTGTTTGACTATTCATAACAGGCCAAGTAGTGAGCTGTTTTAATTGACCAAATTAACCAAGTGAAAACCACCCCCTCACCCTCTTGCTGTCTCTACAGTAGTTATTTAGCAAGGCTAAGTGATATTAGTCAAGCTGTGCTTGCATGCGTAGCATTATTTCCAAGGCCAAAATGACTGCAGTTTACTTTATGATGAGGGAGAACGTCAAGACTTAGTGGGAAGCTTTAATGCTTCTGATAGAAGTTTTATTGGCCATTAAGGGAGAAAGAGGTAAATATATTAATTGAACTCTTGCCCCACATGAAAAACTGTGGATGTCTAAGACTGAGTCTGTAATTGCTGAAGCATCTTAGTAATTTTCATATCCCAACACCCAAGAAATTCCACCATTAGCTGGTTATCAAGGACAGAAAACAGCTGGATCTTTAACACCCTGACCTTTACTAAATTAAATAAGTAACAAATATATCCTGAAATGTATTCCCCATTTAAGATTTAGTCATTTTAATATTGTTTCCCATCTAGACTTGACAGCCTGAGAAGAAAGAGCCTACCGCAGGTTTCAAAAGCATCTGGCTGATTCTGCTTTCTTTATATCACTTTCCAAAATTTACCTCTGCAGCTCTGAACATTTCAAAGTATTTGACCCCCACCAGAGTTAGGATCCATCTCTCCTCTCCAAGATTATTTTAAAGTGGTAAACAAAAGGAGGGATGCTGCCGACTGGAAGAAACGGAGATTGTTTTTTCTCCGTGCAAATTACTTTTAAAAACCAAGTAAAATTTTTTTTTTATAAGTTTCTTCCCTGTTTCTGTTCTACCACAAATTGGTTATAGCAGAAGACGACAGGCAGTGGAACTTAAATAGAAAAATCAGTATCTCCATGCCATAGAGGAGAGTGACCTTAAAGAAACACTTGAGATACACATTAAGAGCTCTTTTTTTAGCATGACTACTTGGGGCTCCCTACACACCAGCTGTCCCATGCTTGTATTGGAAGTGAGTGCGCTATAGGAGGACTTCAGCCAGGTCTCTACCAGTCTCACATCCCTATTGCAGATATAGCCCAAGTCATCTACCACAGCCAGGTTGTTGGGCTCCATGGTTGGATCCAACACACTGAAGTCACAAAACAAAGGACCCAACCAGGAAGACTTTTACAAGCCAGGATGGAGGAGGAGAGCACAGTAAGCATAAGGCCTTTGGCAATCTGCTTCTTTTGAAATTTGGGCTGGACCCCAAAAGGTCTCAAGGAGAGCAGGCAAAGATCACCAAAAGGGCTGGGGTCTGAAGTCTTGACTTTTCCATGCTTCCCGGTAGGGACTGGGCCTTGGTTTAGAGCCAAACTTTTTGCCAGACATGTCACAAATTAGCCCCATGCTGCCTGGGAGCCACTCCAATTCTGTTCCCCTATCTGATCATCTGCTCCGCTTTTTGGTCCCTGCCCTGCGCTGATTTGCTGCTCTTTTCTGCCCCTTGCTATCTGCTGCTGTTGCTGCCTGTTCCCTCCCATCGGTCACGTGCCACACAGAGACTGCCAGTACCACTTATGGCAAACCTGCTGCAGTTTGGCCTCCCCTGTCTGCGGCTGTCTATTAAATACAACAGCAAATAGGTCTCCCCCCGCTGAAGGATGGGAAGATCAGGAAACCAGGCTCATCCCTGGTCAAGAGGGTGGCATTTAGGGCTTGTCTATGGATGAATTTAATCAGGAATAATTTACAGGAATGGTTATTCCAGAATAACTGCATGCATGGACACTTGTTCTGGGATAATTATGAGTCCTTGTCCCTGGATTTATTCCAAAATAGCTATATTATTTTAAACTCACTCCCAAGCTTATTCTGGAGTAACTCTCAGGAACCCTAATTCAACCTCCTGGGAGCTGACTGTATGTATGTATGTCAGGATCCTACCCACCGTACTAGGACCCCAGCCTTTTGGATAGTCTGGGAAATGCACAAGCCTTGAAGAGACTAGTAACAAATGGACTTCACTCCTGTAGAATTAATATGAGACTTCAAACACCACCTTTATTTTAAATAAAGCTGCACGAAAAATATATACACGTTTCAACTATGTTCAACCATGACTTTAATATAGAAATTGTTCCTGGCATACCTTTTAAAAAGTTTAAATGGACTATATTATGGATGTTCTAAAAACTCAAGGAAGAGCTTGATCTGGAAGGCTTTGGGTGTTGTGTCTTAATCCAACTCTCACTTATTCCTGCCAGGTCAGCTCTTCAGAGTACAGTCTTGCTTCCAAGCTAACAAAATATTACAAAAGTGTCCATAAAGAAGGCTAGTAATAAATAAGGCTATTTACCACATATGGTCCCAGAAGAAGCAGCGACCAGTCAAGCCCACTGTCAACTAGGCTGTGAAAATCAGGTCGAGGTCTTTTGTTGCCTCACTCCCGCAACAGAAACTTGTACAAATTATACGTTAAAAAGTCCAATAGAGTAATTGCCAGATCCTGCTTAAATGACAGAGCAAATATTTGAGTTTCTTATTAAAAAAGGCAAAAAAAATGATAAATGATCTGTATGTGGAACAATGGAGACATAGATGCCATATCCCACGGTTGATGCAAGTTGAGGACTGAACTATCCAAAATGAAGAGACTGCCTTAAGAGACATTCAGCTCCTGAATGATAATGGCTTTAGACAAGAATAGCTTTAATAACGGCGCTGCCTGCACATGAATAGCCCCTGAGGCTGTGTTGATGGCTCTTATCAGGCCACAGTGATTTCCCTCACCTTGATAGAGCCTATAGTGACATACTGAAACAACTGCATTGCTTTAGAAGGGGGCTGGAATATAGGGGGACGATGCTAGACCCTCCTGGCTGAGTTTCCCTGGCTAAGGGTTAGCAATAACAATAACTAGTAGAAGAAAGGGATCCACGCAGTTTGAACTTCCTCGGGACCATTCCTGCAGTGATTCACTGCACGTTACGTAGCACTTGGTTGCAAAAGAAAATGATTAGATTTAAAACCACAAAAACCCATGCGTCTACTCGTGAGGAATTCTGAGTAAGACTCTGGATATTGTAGACTTCCAGATACAAACATCTTTACACACAGTTCTAGCTAGCAAAGGACATTTTGACTAGCCAGTGTAGACTGTGTGGAAGACTGATGAAATGCTGTAGTCTTTTGCAAGTAAGGGTGATGTCTGGCTAACCGTATTCTAGTATTAAAATTGATAAGACCTGACTGTGAAGGACCATTCTTCTACACTTTATACCCTTTCTTACTGCTATGGTTATGGTAAGATTAAGCAAGTTACTCAGTACCTAAAGGTTTGAGCTCTCAGTGCACGTCTATATGTGCAATTAAGGCAAAGCAATAAACTCCAGAGTTTATTGCTCCTGGATACACTGTTTGAATGTGCACCCGGGACTGCAGCACGTTGAGCTGCATCGAAGCAGCCCTGGCTGGCAGGGGATGCCAGGGGTCAGCCTGCCAGGCCAGGGCTGCTTCCCCTCCTGCTCAATGTGCTGCACAGGGGCTGGCTGGGGCATGAGGGGGCTCCAGGGCAGGGCCAGCTGCCAGGCAGCCCCCACACTGAAGCACCCTTGTGCTCCAGCCAGCCAGGGCAATGTCTACACGTGCACTGCTGCAAAGCAAAAAAACTCCATGGCAGGATAGTAGTTGTAAATTAGTACTATCCTGTAAATACAAGTACTATCCTGATGCAGAGTTAATTCATTTACTCTAGCCTAATAGGGGTGCATGTGTAGGCACACGTTTACTGCAGAGCTAATTAGTCTACTCCGCAGTAAGTGTCTTGTGTTGAAATGCCTGCAGAGTGATAGCCATATGGAGAGCTCTCCTGTGGGGTTTCCTGAAGCACAGTGAGTCCGTTCACACACAGGGCTTTCCCCTGAGTGGAGACATATCTGTAGGCTCTCTTATAGCCTGAAGTTGTGATCAGCAGAAAAGCCTGAAGCAGAGTAAGCATGTCACGTTAAACACTTAGTGGAGCGGTATCTTGTCCAGGGAAGGGACTGAGGCAAGACATGTTTCATTAGGAGTCCCTGTTAGTGCTCTACATTTCTTCTATTACCACCAGACGAGGTCCAGAATTGCCACGGGACAATCCAGCAGGATAAGAAAAAATCCCTAATGCCCCTACTACTATTTAACATGTTGCTAGCATAGTGTCATTTGCAAGGTTTACTTTCCCCACTACCTGTTTATGACTGCAAACTCAACTAAAAACATCCTCCTAAAACCAGCAAGAGTCAAACCACCGGAGAGGAAATCCATGCTGGATGAAAGCATCTTTGTTCCAACATTTTGCACAAGGGAAATGAGAATTTTTGTTTATAAGCAGTCTTTTACTCTCCCTTTCCCCCATTTTATATAAAGGCTTGATGGGTTTTTTTCAGCCCAGCACATCATTTCCTGTGTGACCTGGGTCAGGGGTGTATTTCTGTACTTCTCACGCGCTAAATTTAGGCTCTTTGCAGGAAACATCAGAGATTTAAATTTGTCTTTCGCCATGGCAGCAGCACAGTGAAGAGGAACCGAGGCCACAAGTGCTTCACCATAGTACATCTGCACATAGTACATCTGTATAAATATAGGTCTGGTGTAGACACTGTACAACAGACCTCAGGGAGCGAGAAACTCAGCAGCCACAAAGTTGTTGCTTTAGTTTGAAAATATTCTAGATATATGAGAAGCTCCAGATCCCCACGGGTCTCAAACCAACATTTTACTTCTACTCATCACTATCTGATTCTCTGCAGAGTGCCTCAAGCCTGGTTCTTATTTCTCTTAAAGGGGTTTAATGGCTCGTGCTAAAAGGTTAATCCGACAGCACCAGTGAGCTTCACATCTGACCTCCAGCAGTGAGACCTTCCCTCCTGCTTCTCCAGCTGTGAGGTTCTCCTGAGCACAGAGTTACAAGGGTTAGTTTGGAGATGGAGACAAATATCTGCTTCATGCAGGACCCAAGACATTCTCCTATGGCTCTGGCCAATTGCCCCTCTCTCTCCTGTCACTCCCTCCCCACTTTTTATAGCAAGCCTGGGTGTAATGGCATGGGGAACGGTGTAGTTACAAACTTGGGTAGTTACTCAGCAGCTCATTGCAAATGGGTTCCTCTCTCTCACCTGGGACTTGTGTAAGCTATTAACATCCTTGCCCAGCCACCCTATATGTCTGTGTCCCACAACTCCCTTGTCCCTGGAGAGGCAGGCCTGCGCAGCTGTCTACAGAGGTGAGACAGTGATTTGTGCTTCAATCTTCTTTTGAAGGTCTGCTTAATGGCAAGCTGGATAATGAACTCCTGCCAGAAGGCATCACCTTCAGGGTAGTAGGATCAAACCTATCTTCTGTGTCTGCCATATACCATATATGGGTCAAGTGGGGAGGTGCAATAATATGGGAATGATGGTAATCTGCTGTAGGATGGAACAACCAATGCTACCCATGCCGCCAACCAGGGCTGCATCTTCCTCTTCCGAAAGGAGAACAATGAAAACAGTACACCCAAGTTGAAGAGCTCTACTTGATTAAAACATTAAAAGCTCGTACGCTCATCCAAGACTTTCTCTCTCTCTCCTACCTGAAGGTCAGTAGTGGCTGAACATTCACTATGGTCAGGTCTCAGATGATTGCAGGCCATGCAGCTTGCTCTACCTGACACTCCTAAATGCAACCTGCTCCAAGCAGCAGCATTAACAAGGTCTAGAAGGAGCCTTGTTTGGATGCAGGCAGATACCCCAGGTTACCTCTATGAAAGATAAGACAGACACAATGGAGGGAGTCAGACTGCAGCATTGCTGCAAAAACCAAGTTTGCCAGCCACCAGTGTGCTCTGCTCTCTCCCTTAGTTACAGCACTTGTACCTGCCCTGACCTCATTACAAATGCACTACATGATTTGTATTAAATTTTGAGATTAAGATCTACCCCTTTGGCATCAGCTTATTGTGACTGGGTTCATTTCATAGTTTTTTCGGTGAGTTCCCTCTTCTCATGCATCATCTGCTTATGTGAAGAGCCCAAACAGTTATCTCTTGGCATCTGCCGTCTTACAGTTTTATGTCTTGGAGGAAGTTTTTCTTTTTCTTTTACAAAGAATGGTCAATGATTTCATCCAGAGCAGACATGGAAAACTGCCATGCAAATATATTCACCCACGCACAAAATCCACTCCCCTGGACATTACCATTATGACTATACAAAAGACTAATAATAGTACGGTAAGAATAACAGAATAACAGCAGTCACAGAGCTGTTGCCTTTCAGGGAAGAGGACTCTTTCAACATCCTCTTTTTATCTTAGATTCTCCTCACCATTTTATTACATCCCCTTTAAAAACAAACTCAATATTTGGCTTGAGACGCTGAACAATTGCCAATGTTTTTGCAATGCAACATCTGTATAAATTACATCTGTTGCTTGTCACCACCACAGTCAGACTAGTGCATAGTACAAAAATATATTCTGAGTTGCATAAAAAACAGCTAACACACTGGTGGAGTAGAGAGACACTTTCACAGCATGTGCTTTCCAGTTCCTACCCATTCTCTTTCCTCCCTGATGCTGGGTAAACCAGGCCTGAATTAGCTGCCATGAAAGGTGGAAATCTCTCACGTCAAAGTCCATTGCCTCGATAAGGCTTTTAAGCTGCCCCAGAGACTTGTGCATAGAGGACAAGTGTTTCTCAGATGTCTTGGCTAAAGAGACTCTTTGTGAAGCCCGTTTGTATGCTCTATAGGAACGTGCACCGTGTATTCATTGATCAGAGCAGATGTGTTCCTCAGCATCTCGTGAAACGTATCCACCGTCTTTTGGTAAATGTCTCTGTGAAGCACAAATGATCGGAAAAGGTTGAGGGGCTCAGCCTTCTGGAATATCCCCGGGAAACCTAGCTCCTCTGGCACCTTACGATTTCCAATGAAGAAGTGGCATAGCTTCTTTTCCTGCAGGCTTTTCTCCAGGAATTTCAGCATGTCTTGCAGCCTGGCTTCCAGGTTTTCCGGGGCCCAGTCCTGATGGGGACGGGTCTGTAGCAAATGCAGCATTGCTGTTTTCAGGTGGTAGTTTGTGAGGCCGCTTGGACCCGAGAGGCTACATTGCTTTTCGTGCAGGAAGGAGAGGATCTGAAGGCAGCTGAGGTGGCAGGCATTGGCAGGCAGTGTTTTGGAGAGGGAATGGATGAACCGTCTCTCATACACTGCGAAAGTAAGAAACCAGTAAGTGTTGGAGGAGGGATCAGCTGTCAGGCCGCTGCGGGGAAAGTGGGAGATGAAGTAGACATCAGAGTCTTCGCATTGCACCACGGGCGTGATGTTGAAGGCGATGGACTTTCCAGACCTGAATTTTATCTTCAGGGCACCTGGGGAGTCCAAGAGGCTGAAGGTGAGATCAAATTCGTACTTGTGGGATATTCTGTTCCAGGCCTTGGTGATGGCAATCTGGAACCACTTCATCACCTGGTCAGCATCCAGATACTGGGTGTTGTTAAAGCAGAGCAGGTCCTCCCTCTCGCTGTTGTGCCTGGTCTGGCTGGCTTGGCTATGGAGGAGGCACAACATGTCTTCACCCAGCTTAGTCTTGTCGCAGATACAGCCTGCCACATCCTCATCCCTCCGGCAAACCTTGATGGTACCGTAGCCTTGCTTATCTGGGGGGATGGAGTCCCCAGAGCACCACACCTGCGACTGGAAACGGTAGGGCTCTGGGGGGGTAAAAGGCACAATCAAGTCGCACACATATGGCTTGCGCACCCTCCAGTTTTCATACATGCTCCCTACCCCTATGCACTCCTCCACCTCCATGTCAGCATCCCGGTTACACACGCTCCGTAGGGCTTCCAACAAGTCGTCTGCAAAACCTTCCACCATCTCCCGCATCCGGGCCATCTCGCCAGTGACACCCACGATGCACCTCTCATAGAAGTTGGCCAAGGTGGCCTTATTTGGCAGGGCCACCCCCTTAAATGCTTTCCCCAGGATGGCCATGTCATCCTCCTCACCGGCCCAGTCCTGCCAGTTCCCATCCTGGAAATCTTGCCTCCAGAGCTCAATCAGTAGGAAGACAACCATGGACATGGCGCTCCACAAGTCCCAACGCAGAGCATCCTCTTCGAGCTTCTCCTCCAGCTTAGGGGCCTCTTCCAAAGCCTTCTGGGCGGACTCCTGCCCTGCCATCTCCTGCTCCAAGCGTAGCTGCTCCAGCCGGAGGTTCTCCTCACGCTCCTTCATCCTCTGGATGATTTCCTCCGTGTCCTCGGGGACAGTAGCATTTTCTTTGGGGAAGAGGAGTGGGTGGTTGACGATAGCTGTTATCACCACCAGGCACACTCGGAAGATCCCTGTGGGCATGGCAATTCCTTTCCTGCAAGAGAGAGAGGCAGCATGGTCAGAAATGAAATAAAATCATTAATACAACCACCCTTTATCTTTTTTCCAAGTCTGATATTGTCGCCTGCAACTGGGAGTTCATGAACAAATGCCTCAGCCCACGAGGTTCCCTGCCAGAGTGCTGAGGGATATGTAGCTGTAATGAGGAGAAAAGCAATAGATTGCAGTAGCAGTCCCGGTCAAGGGCCTACTTGAACCTAGCAGATGCAGTGCTAGGCTGGCTAGGTCACAGCAGTTCCTGTAGCTCATTGCATATGAGAGAACGGCATGATGATTAGCACTGTGGCTGGTACTTCTGACTCCCCAACCAGGATGACTAGCTGGATTGACCAGTGACAGCCTTTGCATAAGCCCAGATCAGGGTTCAAACTCACAACTCTGGAGTCATAGTGAGAAACCACTTTAATATCATCATAAATCATAGCCTGTCCAAGAAGGATGAGCAAGAGGATCCAGCTACAGCCACCCATGCTTCTGTTGTTCTTCACCCAATGTGATTGCTATTTGGGCATTAGTAGGCCCTCCCCATCCCACCCACAGGGAAGTGGGTGGAAACAGTGCCCTCCCCTCCTTTAGGAAGACCCCTTCCCATCTGAGAACCAGGTACAAAGGGCAGACAAAGAAGTGCTGGCAAGCGGCACCCCCTCCCTTTTCTGCAAGCATCCACTGCCACCCCAAAATGCATGTACAGCTTCAGTGCCAGGTGTGAGGCCGACAGCTTAGAGGCACAGCCATGGGAGGGGTATTGCCGTTTGAAGCACCCTCCATGGGAGGCATGCCAATGGCCTGTGGATATCTTCACAATCAAGCACTGGTCATTCACATCTGGACTGAGACCATGGTTACAGAGTTTAGTGCCTCCAGGAGGGAGGCCCCTAACAAACTTTTCCAACTCATTTGAAGTACCAAAGCATCAAAATACAGCAGGGCTCATGCTATGACACATCCCTTCCCAGTATACTGGCACTGGCATATGATAGCCCCTGAGAAAGTACAGGATCTGCCACATTGCACCTTTTCACTGGCCTTGCTTTAACCCAAAGACGGATGGTTTCAAATGCATCATGCTACTTAAATTCTGTGCTTGCGAGGCTACTAATCTGGACAATCCATGAATACGCCTCCCTGCCTGGATCTAAACAAACACCTCCCACACACATCCAGAGCCACGGTCCCAGCCAGCTTGCTCTTTTTTGAAGTGCCAAGGGCATCAATGCAGAAGTGATTCTGGAGTACGTCCCACTGCCAGACGTGTGCCGCCGCTCGTCTATGTGCAGCAGCATGCCAGTGTGAGCTGCTGCATGTTACCTCCTCCTCGTCTTGGCATGGCTGAGAGACCTCAAATGATTCTGAGCGGGCTTGTTTGTTTTATTCATGATACAGTATTGGGTTCCCAACCCACGTGCACGGCCAGTGCCCTTGGATGTTATTAGTTTCACACACGAATGTACCAAGACTCTGTTAAAAGAAGGTAACCTCTAGCTCTGCTGGGCACAATCCTATTGCTGCCAGGGCATCTACCCAGCACTGTTTAGGTCTCTTGGGCCACATCCACATGAGCAGGGGCGTGTGTTTGCAGCAGCATATATAGTAATGGCACGAATTTGTGCTGCTACTTTGTGCCGCAGTGCATGCCTCTTCTTGTGGGCTTTGCACCGGGGCACATTGCCCTGCTGCTCCATGGTGGGTGGGAGAGGTGGGTGCTGGCTGGGGTGTGCCTTCCTCCACATGCCTTACCGGCTGGATGGGCTGTAGTGTGCCTCGAGATGGGGGAGCAGGCAGCCCTGGGCTGGCTGCTCCCCTGTCTCCACGTGCCTCAGCCCAGGGGCTCCACTGCAGGGCCCCCATGCTGGGCACATGCAGCTCCCATCTCGGGGCACGCTGCACCCCAGCTAGCCAGGGAGCAGCTGGCTGGGGCACAAGGTGCCCAGGGCTGCCTGCTCCCCCATCTCCACGTCTGTCCCGGCACACACCATTTGGGTGCGCTTTGAGCTGCTTTTTGATTCAGGGTTTTTTTGCTCCTGGGAAATCCCGGTAGCAAATTTTGCCCTGGCGCTGCAAATTAGTAGCACTGTGCAGAGTTAAATGTGCTAGGCTTATGGTTTGTGGCACTGCAAAGGGGTTTGTGGCACCACCAGCTGCATGTGCCGGCACATCTGGATCTGGCCCTGGAGTTTTGTTTTAGCATAAGCTGTGCTCCAGCTGTTGAGGCTGCCAGGGTGACATTTTATTTGCTTGGAAGTTGGTTTCTATCGGTGCTTAAATGTCTTAAAGTCCCTTCCATGGTAAGACCATCCAAAGATGATGACTTTGCCAGTAACTTGAGCTTCACAGTACTCTGAAGAGAGCTGCAGGGTGAAGGGGGTCAGTTTTGGGTCTGGGCACACAGGAGAGTTTGGGAAGGGCTTGGTGCTTTTAGTTTCACGTGGAACATTTTGAAAGAGACCCCTCATACATGTGGGCACACAAGAGAAGGGTGTGCCCAGAAAAAAAGATACTTGCTATGAAAATGTAATTGTGGTGAAAATAAGTGAAAAAAAAAAATCAAGCAAAACCAGAGGGAATGAACTAGGTCATAAAACAACTAGTGTAGCTCTACATAGGTATTATGGTGAGCCCATCACCATTGCTTTTAGGCAACCGTAGTAGCCTCTTCTTTGGCATGACAGGCTTTCTTTATGTACAGTTCACGAGCCGCCTATCTTTATGGTTCCTCAGGTCATAAATCCATCCCATAGAGGGAACCTACTATCAGCCTTACACCGTACACCTTAGTCACTGAGCTTTATGACAGCAGAGAAAACACAGCCCGGAGAGCTGTCCCAGCCCCATGAGCACAGGCCAAGGTTGACAAGGACAATCTCCATTAGACGTTAGAAGTACGGGCCTCTGGAGATGCATCCCGTCCAGCAGCAAACACAATCACAGACACGCCATTCAGATCACCGCAACCTTTCAAGCTGTAAGACAATAACCTTCCATTGCAAATATACAGTCGCTCTTCCACCCGCAGAGACTGTCTATACTTAGGTGATACCATCTCTTACTAAGATTCTGCTAGAATACTGTAACACGGCACCTCTACACGTGTGCTTGACTGCTCATTAGATGAATTTAATGCACAGTAAAGTGTTACTGTCTGCATGTGCGCAGTAGATTAATTTACTCCAGCACAGGATAGTAATTATTGCACTTAAATGCATGTGTAATCAATGTCAGGATTAGTTTACTCCAGCTCAGATTGAGCCAGAGTATATTCAGCTGCATTAATTGCACGTGTAGACATGCCCACAGGCTACCATTGCAGCTCCACTCACTGTGAGCACCCTTGTTGGTAATTTAGCCAGATGGAGCTAAGCACTGTTGTGGGTTTGTGCACAGTAGTCTTACCCCTCTTGAGATCACATATTGCTTTACCAGAAAATACAGTGAAAATGTGCTAAATAGCCTTTTTGTTTGAGACCTGGCCCATGTCCTTCATTAAGGCATCAAATAATTAGTACCTGACTCACTGCAAGCTTTTGAGGGCGGGGACCTTGTCGTTGCGTATTTCTTGAGCCCTCCACGGTTGAACCAGCACTAATTGGTAACCAGTGGCCTCTGTTGAAGAGTGGGCTGGGCTGGGAATAGCAAGTAGGGGAGGGCTGCAAAATAAAAGGGGCATTTGCAGAACTACGCAAAGGAAGTTTACACAATACTCAAGACAATGCCACGGGGCCCTTCCCTCTCAGCGTCAGTACTTTCACTTGTGTTGCACCTTCTTTTGCACAATACACACCCATGCGGCTTCTGGGGGGAAAATAACGTTTGTCCCAGAATATCCTTATTTCTGCACCTCCCATTAATTAACCAGCTGCAGGTCTGGGAGCTCCCGTTATTCTGTGAGATTCATGCCCTAGTGTGGTTTAAAAATAATCAGGGGTCACCTTGTAACTTAAGGGTTTTTTATCTGTTTGCAAGGGATGGGCAGGAAATGCTGCTGAGTTCCTTTTTTCAGCACTGTGCTGTGTTCATTTTAAGATTAAAAATAACATAGTCATATGCCAGAGCCTGGGTGTCTGTCTTTACAGGCTGTTTGCAAGGTCTGCAGTATTAGCATTGGTATATTTGACTAACCTACTATTACGATTCTTAGTCCTGGGGCAGTTATAACAGCAGAATGGTGCTGTATATCAGGAACTGCTCAACTTGTGCATGTCACTGTTTTACCAATGTCATTTAATTCATATTTATGCAAGGGGGGGATTGCATTGTTTTCACTTTACCGGCATAATTAAAGCAGCACAACTTTCTAGCACAGTTCAGACCTCAGATTACAAGCATTCCAGACTATAGTGGGATGTCTGGCTTTGATTATACCACAGCTTATTGTAGGATGGCATGAGTATCCCAGTCCTGCACCTCTTCATGTGCAACTCCTGTGGCTAGTATGGAGAGAGAACTATAGGTGAGGCTAGAAGCGCTACCTGTTAGTAAGACCGCTCAGTGCTTCCCACAAGATACTGGTGTATTCACCAGCTTTTAGCATTGCCACATTTCAATCATTTAAGCTGAAATGGTTAGTGTTCACCTCAGATTAAATTTTTTTGTGGGGGAGGAGTTCAGTCAAAATGGTTTAGCTTCTGAGAATGAAGATAAGGAACAATGCATTGTTTTCTTATGTTAAGAAATTCTGGTAATCCATTTTGGGACAGCTTTAACCAGGGGTTTGAACCACGGATTAAGAATTTCACTAGGGAGGCTGCCTGTCTGTCAGAAATATGTCTTTTAATATGTCCATGTTAAAAAAAACAACTTGCCCAATATAGCCATTTCCAAAACACCGCAGCTGCAGAAGCTCAGTGGAGACTTCTTACATTTTAACATCTAAAATCTGCAAAAAGTCCATCTGAACCGAGCACGTTTCAGCCCCTCACAGCTCTACGGACTGACTAGACTCACCGCTGCCAGATCTTAAATATGAAATTATTGTAT